CCTCAAAAAACAAAACAAACAAATAAAAATGACTTAGCACATATGAATAAAATAAAAAATAATAAAAGTAAACAGTCCATTTTAAAAGACCCAGAAAAAAATGACTAAAACTTTTCGTTCCCCTTTCTCTTCATGTAGTTCATTAAAAAAAACCCAGTTCATTCTTTTATTTGCAAAACTGACATTTTGAGTCCCTGTTCTAAAGCCAGAAATAGGGCTGTATATTGAAGATTCAGAAATATTCTATACCATTCTTACAGATTAAGCCTCATGTTGTTAGGCTGGCCAGGACTGGTTTTTCTAATTAAAGGATGTGCAAGAAGGAACTAAATAAGATTTATCTTTTTCTTCCTTTTGGCTCCTAATAATATGATTTATACATTCTAGACACTTAGTAAAGTTTTACTCATCATGTAAGTAAATAGCATATGTGTTTGTATGAGTACATGCTTTTTATTTACATGTACTGTTGATTTTAGGATCATTAGTTTCCAGAAGGTTGACTTACATCTAATGCAGTTCACATTAATATATTTGAGATTGCACTGTTATCTTTAGAATTCACATGTTCATAAGTAAGGAACTTAGTGCAAAGCTTAAGAGGAAAGAATACTTAAATGAATTGCTTTGGTCGAGTTCCTAAATTTTCTTTACATAAATACACAATGATTTTAGAAGAGTTGAGGTTGCATTCTCCAGTTCTTCTATTTCAAATGTGTACATGCAGAGATGTTACTAAACATGTGCTAAAACTTCAAAATGTTAATGGTTAAACCATGTTTGATTTTCAGGCTGCTGAGCTGTAGGACATTAGGAGTTGATATTTACCTAAATTTGACTAAAAGCTTAAGGCCAGAAAGGTGAAAGATAGAGGAATTTTGAATGTTGTGAATTATCCTAGGATAAAATACTAAAAAGAAGAACTGTACGCTGGAAAATCCCAGTGAAGTAAAGGCTATTTGGTTCTTAAAACTGACAAAAATGTCTAAAAAGCAATATGGTATATAGAATGTGTTTTATTACAAATTACAGGGTCATTGTTTTTAAAATTACAGGCCAGTTTTAACATCTGTTTTTTAGGCATCTTAATTGTGGGCCAGAAAGAAAGTTGGTCATTCTAGGATGTTTGAAATGAGCTGTAATGATTTCCAGGCCCAGAAAAAACTTTGTGCTACAGCCACTTGACAGAAGAGGGAATGGAAAGAGGGTCTTTATATTTTGTATGCAGGGCTAACTGTCCAATAGTAAGGTTCCCATCATCCAGCTGCCCTCAAAAATCTAAAGGCCCAAAGGTAACAGAAGTTGGATTTAGGATAGGGGGAGGAGGGTGAGAGTTACAAATGATAAATTATGAGGTAACTGAATTTAATTATTTTAATATAAATTTAGTTAGAGTCATTACAAAGAGAACCTCTTTTGAGAGGAGTTAATTATAATATTCATTTGCTACTGTGTAGTTTATTCCACTTCAGAGACATAGTAATTATTATAAGGTTAGTAACCTTTACAAAAGTTCTATTTCTTGAAAGAAATTTAAATTTAAAATTAAGTATTAAATTTTCATTTTTTTATCTACCCTTGCTAGCACTTTGTTACTCTCAATTTTATAGAAACCCTACAAAAGATTGTTGCCAGTTTTACAGATCAGAAAACTGAGATTACAGAGCTTAAGTAATAGCCCAGATCACTCATTCAGCAAGTGGCAAAGTCAGGATGTGCTCTGTGTGCTCTGCCTGTTGTCTTCACACTACTCTACACTGCCCTTGATAATACATTTTCTTTCACATGACATTCTTCCACCTTCCAAAGTATAGATTTATGGTTAGGAATATCATATAGGCATTCATGTGTGTCCATATACATACATGTATATTAAAAGTTTTCTGTTCTCTTTATAAAACATTTAAAATTTAAAGTATCACAGGCAATAACTTGGGCAGCAGTATGATTTGGCATTAAACATAGCATTGCCAATGGCTTTGACTAAAACACAGGCTGATTTGTTCTTCGTTTTATGGATTATACTTTCCACCTGATTCTATTACTGCCACCCAGATTCTTGAACATCGTGTTGCCTCATACAAATTAATAATGTCTTAAACTTATTTCTAGAAATCACAGCTTTTCAGTACAGTGTTCTAAAAAGTTTATTCTAAGTGAAAGAATGTACTGATGTGTAGTAGTAAGTAGTTTGTTGTATACTAAACAAAAAAAAGGAAAAAGCCAGGCATAGTGGCATGCTCCTATAATCTCAGCTCTTGAGAGACTGAGACAGAAAGATCAATCGAGGCCAGCCCAGGCTACATAGCAAGACTGTCTCAAAAACCAAAACCATCAAAGGTAAAACAAGACTTAAGGGCTTAACATAAAGATAGAGAGAGGAAGGTCTAGAGAGGTAGAGAAAAACCACCCTCTAACTGACAATCAGTTCCAGTTTTACCAGTCTGTGTAACTCTATCCAAAATGAGAAAATGGAGCTGCAACTTACATTTATGCATTTGAAGTTACTAAGCCATGTGCCCCACCCACCCCCAGCACACATGTACAAAGGGTTACACTATGAAGTGATTGTACTGTCTCGGTGCAGGTATGTCTAGTCTTTGGGTATTCTGTACAGCATTGTAGAAGTTCTCTTTGTTTTTTTGTGTTTATACTTCTGTACCCATGAATGTATAAATTCAAATTTATAATTTTAAATTTTAAAATAAAATTATATTGAATAAAAAATTTAATTTTTTAAAATAAAAATTTTAAATTTTCTATAATTGACAAACCAACAGTTTAAGAACTTTTATCTGCTTTCTGCCTTGTAGCCATATGAGCCATATAGTTTTAGATTCCTCAAGACTTTACAAATAAGAATTTTTGTTATGAATCTGAGATATGAAAATATGCTTTTAATTTTAAAATAAGAGCAAAAGAAAGTGAAGCTGCTTATTAAAACTTATCAATTACAGGTCCCTTTTCCAGAAATAAAAAGCAGAGTGTTGTTACATGCAATCTGTATGGCATAACAACTGTGAAAGCACAAAATCTAAACAAACATGATGTTATTATATGTTTTGTATTCCCAGATTTAGTACTTTGAGTAATTCGTGACTCAAAAATATTTATTTCTCACCTATCTGGTAAGATGCTATCATGCAAGCTTCTGTTGAACTTCAGAATCTTTTCTTTTACAATTTTCAGTCATTCATAATTAATAGTTCAGGTGTCAAGAAAACTTGTTTCCATTTCCATTGCAGTGATGAAGAGCGATACAGATACAGGGAATATGCCGAAAGAGGCTATGAGCGTCACAGAGCAAGTCGAGAGAAAGAAGAACGACACAGAGAAAGACGACACAGAGAGAAAGAGGAGACCAGACACAAGTCATCTCGCAGGTTTGCTCTTGAGTGCAGGAGTGAGTCAGTTTGACACCAAGAGAGAAATTGATTTGACTTCAGGAAATGAAAGTAAACATTCCCAAATAGCGTAGAATACATGGGATCCTAATTGGAAGATTCAGAATAATCTGTCAAATGGTTTGTTGGTTCCTCAAGTGCTTCAACAAAGTTTTTTTAAATTTAACAAGACTACACATTTCATTTAATACTCAAAAAACAAAATTAGCATGGGATAAGATGGGAGATTTTGGTTTATTACATAATCTCATTGGCAGAGGGGGAATTTTGGTATGAACCGACCCTTAATAGTAAATGTTAAAGTACTGTTTGGTTTAAAGAAAAAAAATTCAGCACCTATAGTATCAAGACAAAAAAAACAGCATTAAATTTTAATGCCATTGTTTCCTGAAAATAAACCCCATAAAATAGTATTTCCCATTCTGAGTTAGTGCTTCAGTTTCTAATTTGTGATTAGTCTTTCAGAATAAATGGGCACTGGGAATTAAGGAAAAGAAGCTGGAGGAGAGGAAAAACTGAATCCTGAGAATACATGGGTTTCACCTCTTGTGCATACTAGTCCCAGAAATAGATACTATAAATCTTGTTATTTTTCTGGATAATGTTTAAGAAATTTGCCTTTAATCTTGTTCAGTTAGAACGAGAAGATTTTTTTTTCCAAAATAAAAGAGTGAAATTTTCATGTTAAGTTAAAAATCTTTGTCTTTGTAATACTAAAAAAAAAAAAAAAAGGCAGCAATGACTTTATATCCATGAAAATAATGTGAACGAGTCACTTACTTAGGAGGGGATGTAAAGAGCTGTATTTAGCTATGTACATACACAGTATCTGATAAAGGTCAAGGACGCACCCTGGCCACAGTTTTCTTGTTAATCAGATCCCAGTCTCTTAGGAGGTTGTACTGCAAAAGGCCTCTGAGTCTTGAGAGTAAAACGTCTTTATCATTACTGCTGTAGCACTCTTGCTAAGAATATTAAAGAACTTGTATACATTTTTGATACCACATTTTTTTGATAGTAGGTTTTCAGTGTTCTAAAATTGGGTCCATGGTGAAAGTTAAATGAGACACTTTTATATTCAAATTAATAAAATCTATAAGGCATTTGGGTGGCCTCTGTGACTGTAATTTGCTCTTTATGTATATATTCTGGTAGGCACACATACAGGCACTCATCACTGTGACACAAAGTTGAATCACCTCATGGCCATCCATTGGAGCCACAGTCAAGCTGGTTTGGACTTTCTTGGTCTGTTTTCCAAAGCGCATTGGTAGAGCAACATACGGATTTTTTCTTGTACAGTTACAACATTGTGAATAAAAACCAACTTCATGATGAGCTTTAGATTTGTCTATTTCTTGTTCAGATGAAGAAAACACAAGTTTATAACTGAGCATTTTTAGGGATAACCCTAGTTAGGTATTAAATGTCGGTGGTGGTAGCAAATAACTTGGTATATGAAAGAATGAGTAACTGGAATCTTTTAACTGGTGATGGTGACAGAAATAAATTTAGAGTCATGTAAAAAGACAACTATAATTTTTGAAAAATATTTATTTCTCATTTGATGAACATCTCTCAGCATTTTAAAATCCTCCTTTAATTTTAAAATGTCCATAATGTACTCTTTGTATAGTACTCTGCATATACCAAATTTCAATTTAAATCAATGACTTGAATTCAGTGGGGCACACAAACCACTTTAGTTGTATGGGCCTTTTGTTGAATAGAAAAATACAAACTTAAAGTTGTGGAACAATTAAAAAAGTCCTCCACACTAAATAAAAACTATTAGTAGTTTTTATTTTTTGGAGAATATTTGCTGAGGTGTAACTGGCTTTTATTAGATCATACTTCACTGCACATTTTTCAACGTGTTCTTTAAATATAAAAATTGACAAGATAAATACAGTGTTTCAACTTAGCCTACTTGTGATTTTCTTTTTTTCTAAGACCTATCATTGATTTTATAAAAAAGTACCAGGCCAAGAAACAATAGTGAGAGTAATTCTCCCTTTAAGTTCTTTCAGCAGTCTTGCCAAGCAAGCATGTATCATGCCTGCGGTACTTCTACCATTGACAGCGAGAAGAATATCACCGCATCTGAAATACAAAAATAGGTGATTAATATTTTAATCCACAGTTGAAGTTAATGTAGGTTTATTTTGGTGGTCCTAGTTTTTACTACATCCAGTTTAATTATATTGCTTCTAATTAAGGATTTTGTACTTCCTTACTTAAATTCTCCAAACTCACTATCGATTCTGCTTCTTTAGAAGAGATGCTGAAAGTATTAGGAAATTGCAGTTTGGGACCAAGTGGGTATGAAGTTTTGAATTTCTAATTCCCGTCCCTTAAAAATAAGTACAGTATTTAATACGCTTTGTTTCAAACGAGGTTAGGCTTTTGCACGTAGAAAACAAAATATCTGAATAGAAGTTTTGCTGAGTAGTCATTACCTAATTCTTCCATCATTGTCCCTTAAAAATAAGTACAGTATTTAATACGCTTTGTTTCAAACGAGGTCAGGCTTTTGCACGTAGAAAACAAAATATCTGAATAGAAGTTTTGCTGAGTAGTCATTACCTAATTCTTCCATCATTGTATGCTGGTGTTCCTTCAACAATGGATTTGATAAAAAAAGGTTTGTTCCCATTGCATTCTTCGTAACCTCCTACGATGCAGAAGCCCAGACTTCCAGCGGTATTTCTTCGTAATACAATATCTTTACAGTTGTATAAATACCTGAAACAGAATGTAATGAGTGTATATGTACAATTAAGTTTAACTGTTAATAACTGTGATTTCATTTCTCTTTTATTAGCATTTTTTTAGGCCAAGTAGCACTGGATAGGTCACACTCAAAATCATGTCATATTTCAGTAGTAACTTTTATGCTATTAGCCAGCTTTTTGTAATTGATCTTCTAATAGCTGAATGAACACCCTAAAAACAAAAGGACTTCACCTGTTATGTTCTGGGAAAGACAACCACGGGTTTTGCGTAATGATAATGCTTGAATTTATATTAGCAAAATTTGGGTATGCCTAAATCCTTATTGATAAAAGTGAAACATACTGAGGGATATCATATTTTCATTTACTTAAGGATATAAATGGTTAAGAAGGCAAAAATCCTTTGAATAAATGATCTCAATGGAAGGAATTAAAACCTGTGCTAAGTAATAAAGTTGTTTAATACTAATACAGGCTTGGAGAAGCATGCAGGCATAACTGCATGGAAATTGAGGTGGTGTTTCATCTAGGCGAAGAAACAAACTGGCATAAGTAGAAGGAAAGACCACAGCTCTCTGTAAATGAGTAGAACCCTCAACTAATATAGAAAATGAAATTGAAGAAATTCTTTCTCTATTCAGTGACACTTGGATCATGTCACATTGGTGCAGGCTAAGTGCAGCTGTGCTCCAGGTTCCATAGAAAGAGGTATGTTAGGAGCTGGATTTGGCTCTAATATGTGGCTGTAGTCCAGGAAGCTCCCATTTTCATGTTGGAGAAAAATCAAGATAGCGGCTGTTTTATTTATAGACTGTACCTTAAACTATTCAATTAACTGCTGCTTGACAACCAATAAAAAGTCTTGTGAAATGTTAAGTGATGAAGTTGGTCATTACATTTGTTACTGACCTTTCCTATAAATGTAACAACTTTTTTCATGTTGCTGACTCACTTGAAATAAACAAGCTTTGGGGATTCTTTGGTTGAATATTTTTAAAATGTAGTGCTAAGATCTTTGTTTTATATCCATTGTCATAGTTATACATTATTTACAACAATCCATTTCACTGAAATGATAGCAAAAAGTATAAATGAATTAAGTGAAAAAAACCCTCTATTTTTATTGTAAGATTTGTTATATTTCGCAGTAAACTATTCATTCCGTGGGAGCTGTGGTCTGTTGGAAACTACATGTTGTGTAATGGTTTACCAACTGTGCTCAGTACAAAGCAGGTCATTAATTAGCTTTCCCCAAACACCAAAGCATATTGCATTCCCATCTTGGACCAGCTTTCTGGAGAAAGGGAGTAATTAGATGATTCTTATCTAAGGTCATTATCTGTCTTAACGTTTTCCACTTATGATTCTTTAAAGGAGTACATAAAGCAGTACATCAAACTGCTGCTTTTGACCACTAATTTTGGGATGTTTCAGTACATAGTTATCTCCTTGGACCTTAACTTCATTTGACTTTTAATGAATATAGTTTATGTCATATGAACCACCTATAAACACAACCATCTAAAAAATGTTCTTGTATCAAAATGCATCTGTTTTTTCTAGACTTTTTATACTGGCAAGGTCTCTGCCTGGATCATTTTTCAGATGTTGAGTATAACATGCTGTAGGTACTTGGGATATACTGGTGACAGAAACACAAAACCCCCTGCCTTCCTGCAACATTCATCTAAGGTACAGTGTTACAAATTTGGTTTTATTAAGTGTTTTTCTTTTGTTGTGTTGAGTATTTACCTTTGTCATAGCAGGAAAGCTTAGAATGTTAAACCTTTCAAAGTTAAAGACCTTAGTCAGTTGGACTAATTAATGGGTATTTTTTTTCTTCCATAAATTATTTAACTCCCCACTGGGAAACATGACAACTGCTTTTGATCAGTGACCACTGAAATTAAATGGCTTTACCCTCTAAATGTAAATGTGAGCTTTTTTCTTACTCAGCTCATTTTCTAAATTTAGGCCTAACTGAAGAAGACTTAGCATAATACAAGAAATAGCAAGAACTTTGGTCATCCTTCCCAGTGAGAAATTATGGTTATCTCACAAATAAATTTGACTCCTGAATCAGTTAATGAATGAATATGGGTAAGTCTTGAGCCATTCAAGAAACTAAGGTCTTTCTAAATTTTCCCTAGATCCATTTCTACCTGCCCCCTATCCTCCCTACCCTCCCCCCTCAAAGGGCATACAAATAGGAAAGAAAGAAATCAAATTAAACCTATTTGTAGATGGTATGATCCTATACTTAAAGAATCCAAAAGATTCCACCAATTAAACTCTTAGATCTAATAAACTTTCAGCAAAGTAGTAGGATACAAAATCAATGTTTAAAAAAAAAAATCCATAGTTTTTCTGTATACCAAGAACAAACAGGCAACAGGCTAAGAAAGAAGCCAGGAAAACAATCCCATTCACAATAGCCTCAAACAAACACAAAAAAAAAAGCTGCTAGAAATAACCCTAACTGAGGTGAACAACCTCTACAGTGAAAACTACATATAAAATACTGAAGAAAGAAACTGAAGACACTAAAAGATGGAAAGACCTCCCATATTCATGAAACAATATTATGAAAACAGTTATACTATTAAAAGCAATCTACAGATTCAATGTAATGCCCATCAAAATTCCAATGTAATTCTTTGCAAAAATAGAAAACACAATTCTAAAATTCATATGGAAGCACAAAAGACCCTGAAGAACCAAAGCAATCCTGAGCAAAAAGAGCAATGCTGAAACTATCACAATACCTGACTTACATTATACAGATACAGTAACAAAAACAGCATGGCACTGGCACAAAAAAAAGATATGAAAACCAATGGAATAGAATAGAAAGACCTAAAAGTAAGCCCACACAGCTATAGCCATCTGATTTTTGGGAAAGGCACCAAAAACTTACATTGGAGAAAAGATAAGTCTCTTCAACAAATGGTGTTGGGAAAGCAGGATATCCACATGTAGGAGACTGAAACTAGACTCCTATTTCTCATCCCATACAAAAATCAATTCCAAATGAATCAGAGATCTTAATGCAAGACTAAATCTTTTGAAACTGCTAGGAGAAACCCTTAGAAGTTACAGGCATAGGTAACACTTTTCAGAATAGAATCTTAAGAACGAACAAGAATTGAGAAAGGGATTCTGGATAGAATCCAGAGTGCTAAAAATTAAATACCAAAACAATAAATCATCCAATTAATAAATGCAAATGAACTCTTTTCAAAGAAGTATAAATGGCAAGAAAAAACAACAAAATCCTGGTGAGGGTGTGAGAGGAAAGGCCCCTTTACACACTGTTGGTGGGAATGTAAATTACTGCAACCACCATGGAAATCTGTATGGAGGTTCCTTTAAAAACTGAAAGTGGCTTCACACGCTCCTTGCCCTCCCCACTGACATGATGATGTAGTTCTTACTTGGATTCACTTTTGGCAACATAGTGGGCTAAGACTTAAAACTGTGAAACTACTACAAGAAAGAATAGGGGAGATCCTATTCTTGGGCATACAGGCATCAGCAATAACTTCCTGAATAGAATTCCAGTAGCACTTCAGTTAAGAAAAAGGACAAATGGGACTGCATCAAACTGAAAAGCTTCTTAACAGCAAAGGAAACAGTCACTAGACTGAAGAGACAGACTACAGAATTATAGAAAATATCTGCCAGCTACACATACTACAAGGGATTTATAACCAGAATTTGCAAGGAGCACAAAAAATTAAACCCCTAAAGAATCAATGACCCAATGAGGAAATGGTCAAATGAGCTGAACAGACATTTTTCTAAGGAAGAAGTCCAAATGGCCAGTAAACATGGCTCAACACCCTTGGCCAAAAAGCAAATGCAAATCAAAACTACATTAAGATTTAAACTCAGCCCAGCTAGAATGGCTACCACAACAGTGAATGCTGGTGAGGATGTGCAGAAAAAGGAACCCTCATACACTGTTGGTGGGAATTACATCCCACCAACATCCACTATGGAAAGTAGTGTGGAGATGCCTCAAAGGTGTAAAAATAGATCTACCAATTGAGCAATACCACTCATAGGCCTATACCCGAAGGAATGTAAGTCAGTATACATTAGAGGAACCTCCACACCCATGTGTGTTGCACCACTACTCACAACAGTCAAGTTTTGGAATCAGCCCAGATGCTGGACTGAACAGATTAAGAAAATGTGGTATATATACACAATGGAATATTATTCAGTCATAAAGAATGAAATTATGTTGTTTACAGGTAAATAGATAGAACTGGAGATCATTGTGTTAAGCAAAGCCAGGCTCAGAAGGACAAATGTCTCATGTTTTCCCTCATATGTGGAAGCCAGACCTATAAGATAGACGTATATGTAAATCCATGTACGGTTTTATGTATATATAGAAAGTGAGTTTAACATCAGGTCTGTTTGATGGAATTAGGGAGAGGTGGGAGGGAACAGGAAAATGATAGTGAATTATATTGAAATACATTGCATCCGTATAGGATCACGGCATAATGAAGCATACTGAAAGCTGTTAAATGGGGACAGGAGGACAGAAAAGGAGACAGTATAGGTGGGAGTTAATCTGATTAAGGTACAATATATGTATGAGCAAAACACCACCGCAAAACCCCTCTGAACCACTAACATACACTAAAAAAAATGAAGGACAGGAATATAAATGGGTCCTGTTCGGAGGTGGGTACCAGTGTGGACGGAGAGCGTGAGGGAAGGTGAATATGGCTGATGTACATAGATAAAAATGGAACAATGAAACCCACCAAAATTGAGGGATAAAGGAGAATGATGGGGTGAATGTAATCAAGGTACATTGGAAGCATATATAAAATGCCACAGTGAAACCCTTCTGCTAATAAGCAGTTAAAATGTATTTACATGGTAACTTCATAGTAATTCTTCTAAGAAAAATATAGTCCAAATTCACACCGAAATCAGCAACTGAAGGAGGAAAATTTCTCTCTTTACAGTTGATATTTTTTTCTGCAA